CTCAAAATGATCTTTTTTTTTTTTTTTTTCCGTGTCCGGCAATGGATCGCAACCCTCAGTGTTGCCTCCGTACCAGACCAGGGACCGGCAACGGGATTGCAAACCTCGGTGTTGCTCCCGCGCCTCGCTCAGCCAGTGAGCGGGAGCCGGTCAGTATGTGGGATCCGAACCCTCGGGCGGGAGCACCGCCGCGCTTCCCAAGCGGCGCACTATCCAGTGCGCCACCGGGCCGGCCCCCAAAATGATCTTTTGAATTAAGTTGTTATTGCTAACTTATTAAAAATAACCATGCTGATAGTTAAGTTCTGGGATTGTCTATGTCAATTAACTATATTTAGATCATTTTGGTTTTTTTCCCCTTAAAGTTATTACTTCAATTTTTTAGATAGATGAATTTAAAGGTTTTTTTTCCTCCATTTGTTTTAGATAGTAAAATTTTAAAGTTTAAAGAAGACAGAGAAAAACTTTATTTCTAGGTCAGATAATCTTGTTTATTTAATTAACATTAGAGAATAAAGATTATAAGATTAAGATTAAATAATAATGAGAAATAATCTCTGACAAAGAACTTAAACTCCATTTTTTCTTCTTTTTCTTGTGCCAGAGTCAAAGGAAACCTGCTGGTGTTAGTGCTGGGGAGTGATGCCAGATGGTTTTTATTCACTGAGTCAAAAGCTATAGCTACATTTGCCAGAAAACAAAGATATTATATAAGGTCTGTACAACCTATTAGACTACTTAATAATCACATAACAATTGAGTGTGGGTTTGCACTTTCTGCAGGCAGGATTGAGCTGATAATATCATTGCATCCCTTCCAGGTTTAGCTTGTTCACAGTAGATGTTTGCCATAAAACTAAAGGCACCATCCAAAACCTCTCTTGGGCAAGAGCTACCTGGATCGTGTTTGTTGTTCTGCGTCAACATTGAGAAAACAAAATTCCATTTCCACCCATGAAGAGAAACACCTGCTTTTATAATCAGCAGAAACATTTTAGTCAAAATTGATGCACACCAGTTGGGAAATTGTTTATAGATTCGTGGTGGCAACATTTTCTATTTCGGTGGCTTGACAGATGAAAGAGACGCTTCAAGACCTTTCATCTCACCTATGGCAACAAGAGCTCACTGAAGCAGGTTTGTTATGTCTATGATAGAATTCTGACCACAAACCACCAAGGAAACTTCAGGAATTTACTGTAATGATTATACCAACCCTTCTCAGGTATCCTCAAATCTATTGTGGAGATACTTTAATTGAAAACCAGAAGATACAAGGCTCCCAAACCAAAAAATTGTTATAGTTCTAATACAGCTGTTTCCAATTCTTGCTATTATGTTATGGCGAACTTTCTTTGCCAAGCTCCTAAGATGAGCACAGAGGAAGAAAATTTTATCAATGAAGTTTCTGCCCTTTAATACATTTTGCTTGAGACCAGTAATCAACTTTTTCCTGGCTTGCTACATTCATCATCAAAACATCTCTCATAAGGAGTTTTAGATTTTCTCGATTAGTTGTAATGAGCTAACAGTGTTTTAAGATGTTGGGCAATAGTTTAGAAAGATTATAAAACATAAGTCTAGTACAAAAAGTCTAGTGTCAGCACTAGGGACTTCCTTAGCTGCAAATGGTACAAATTGTTCGAGAGGTAAGTGACAATTTATGCTTAAATGATGAATGAGTTTAAAGACTCTATGATGAAGGGTGTCAATTGAGAAGGATGATCTTATCAGCTCTACATTGTAACTGGAAGGCAAACACTCCTGGAAACACGTTTCAGCTTAAACATGACAACTTCAAAATGGATACTACTACTCTGAAATCAACTGAGACAATCTAGGGGAAAACTATATGGCTTGCCATCAAAACAGCATACATTGGAAATAAAGAAAAAGCAACTTGCACATGATCCTGTAGTACCCCCTTATCTGCAGTTTCACTTTCTGTGGTTTTAGTTACCAGTGGTGCAGTACAAGATATTTTGATAGAGAGAGAGAGAGAGAGAGAGAGAGAGAGAGAGAGAGAGAGAGAACACATTCATGTAACTTTTATTACAGTATATTGTTAAAATTATTCTATTTTATTATTAATTCTTAATATCTTACTGTGCTTAATTTATAAATTAAACTTTATTATAGGTTTGTGTGTATAGGAAAAAACCCAGTAGTGTATACATAGGTTTCAGTACTACCCGTGATTTCATGTATCCACTGAGGGGCTTGGATCCTATCCCCATCAGATAAAGGTGAAATACTATAATTACATACACACACAATTATAAAATCAGATAATGCAGCAATTTTGCCTGACATGCTTAAATCATCATTATGCAAATGAAGGATAGTTTTTATTAGTAATAATTATAAGCCTATATTCTAATTCTGATGGTTCAAACAGTCTTTTTTGTGGTTTTCAAATTCCATGACTATTATTGGGAACTGGTTGACATTGTGACAAGAGATACATGTAATGCAATCATGTGGAAGGGTATCTTCTGTTTTTAATTGGAGCCATGTTGGAAATCATTGAAAGACGTTTCCTTTTTAGACTTTCAGAGCACAAAAGCTGAAAAAGAAAAGCAGACATTCTCCCCACAAAATACTAATTGAAGACACATTATGTAATCATAAATAAACAAATATTTTCTAAAAGGCAAAAAATCCAATCTGTATGCTGTCTCTCAAAGTCCCCATTTTCTGTGGATTTGGCAACCACCGGGTTCCTTTTGTGGCCAACTGTGATTCTGGGCAGGCTGAGCTGCAAGCTCACTTTTCTTTCTCTTCCAGGCTATCCGTTTCTAAGTCTTGTCTTTTGGCAAATAGAATAAATACTGTAAGGGTGGTATATTTTTTTGTGGAGGAAATTAGTAGACAGACAGTATCCTCAGCTAAAAATCTGTCCTGCAGCAGCATGGCCAAGCTTCAAGCTGCTAGATCAAAATGTGAAATATCATGTTCTCTACTATGGCTGTGGGCTCTCACTTCTGGGATGCAGTTCCATTGGTCATATAAAAGGACAATATGAATTCCTCAGTAAATCATGCCAAAGAACCAATTCAGTGCCCTTTGGGGTATTTGTAAGAATCTGGGGACCAAGATATATTCTGGCAGTCAGCTAAGGGCTGAAAAACAGGATCAGAAGGAAACCTTAGTTGTCATCTCACTAGTCAACCCATTAATGGATGCATCCTGGTTCACCATATGGGCCAAGCATGAAAAAATGAATGAATCAATATCTGACAGGAAGATAAAATGAGGCACTCTCCATCTCCTTTTCAGCTGACTCTCCTGAGACCAAGAGCAAAACAACAGAAGCCAAGTAACCTCATATTCCAATCAATGTCTGGACAAACTATGCAAGACTTGCAAAGTGTGGACAGAATTCAGTTTTGCAAACCTTTATCTCATCAAAAGACTTGGGAGATGAAGAAGAAGGAAGGGAGAGAATTTCTTTGTGAGAAGTTTTCAAATGCTTTGTGGTCTTCTGCTTGGGGGTGTTGCTTCACCCTTGCTTTAAGCCAAGTGAGAGTGTCCTTCAAGAGACCATCTTGGAGAGCTGGACACATGTCTGTTGGGGCTTGGGGAGCATTAAAATTGGTATAAGGCACTGTGGCTATAGCTCAGCTTTAAGGTGGCAGAGAGAGTGAGCACTAAAGTGAGGGGGCGAGAGTGAAAGAGAAGGGGTCACTGGGAATTACTGTATTTCCAGCAACAGCAGAGCAAGGACGCGTGCATATTTCTGTAGACCACATGTGAGTAACTATGAGGGGTCTTCAAATACTTCATGGGAAGATGTGTATTATCTTTTAATTCCATTTTTCCATGGACACTTTGAGGTACCCTTGTGTGTATAGTAAGCCTAGTGCTATTTTAAATATTTTCCAAAAGGATGCCTAGGGGGGCAAATGATCCCCAACAGTTGGATGCCAAGGGGCCAAAGAAGAAATCCAGCTGCAAGAGAGGTATTGCTCCCATCAAGGAAGTTATAGCAGAGGTCCTAGTGCATGGGGTGTCTCCTTAAGAAAACTCACAAAAACACTCTTCAAAAAGAAATTAGTAGCATGCTACACCCAGAGAGCACGTGGCTGGGTTATGCCTGTGCCAGCCAACTAAGACCTTTCTTGTCCTTCACATCCCCTCTCTACTCTGATTCAGTGCAGAAAGAGGTATCAGAAGAACAGCAAAGCAAGATAGGGAAATAGCAAAGAAGCCTCTGGAATTTTCTCCCTGCTTCAGGCTTTTGAAACTAAGGCAAACTTGCGCTGGGGGAGGGGAGTGACTTATGTGGTTATGACACAGGACTGGACAATTTTGGTACTGAAGTGATACTCTTATGCCTGAAAGTGATTGGAGACCTTTTGTTTCCTGAAAGTGGTAGTAAAGTCAGAGACTTACCTAAGATTTGGTAGAGTGGAAATAATCCACAGAGGAGTTTGAAAGGACAGGAGAGAAAAGAAGAAAATTGTTTTCTGCTACCATCTCATGAACTAAGCCTATTTAATTACTGGTTATAAATAAAATCATTTTCACCCCTGGAGAGGACACACACAAAACTGCTCAGAACACAGCAGGTCCTCCCGTTATGCGTTGCATAAACCAACGGAGGAAGGTCATTCATTAGTTTAGCACATTAAATCAACTTGGTTTGCAAGCCGCCTTCACGGAAGATTTTTTGTTGTCTTCTTTGGATGCAGTTTCTGATGGGAAGGCTTGAGGTTTATTAGAGAAGGCAGCACTGTCCAGGTGCCTATCTTTATGCCTTTGTTGACCAATGATTCCAGTTTTGAAGTGTCTAAATAAACTAATTTTTAAACACCTCATTTTGTAGAGCCAGTATTGTGATTACTACATGCTTTGGCTGTGTGATAATGAACACATTTAATTTCCTTCTGACATCATTTTTTTTTTCATACAAATTAAGACTGACAGTGCAATTAAAGATTCAACAAAATTTTTTAAAAAATCAAAAGCTGTAAAAATTGGAGAACCATCATAAATACCTCATGGAAATGACATCCACACTTCCCCTGCAGAAACTCTTTGTATCGCCCCATTGTTATAGCAAATGTGTCAACTACTTCGTAGCCATATTTTTTTGCAGCATCCAGGATGATCAAATTTTCTTTCCATAAGTTCTGTACTTCACTCTGTGTTGCAAGCAGAAGAATATGGGTTTTTATTGGTATAGAATTGTTTTATGATTTAATAACTCAGAAATCATGTAAATGTTATCTAAAAAAGATAAAAACAGAAATCGTAAAAAACAGAGATTGGTCATATTGTGACCACAAAATAAAGGTAGTGAACAGAAAAGGCTAAAAGAATTTCACATGCATTAAAAAAATAGATATATGTTCTATTTTTTAACTAAAAACATAAATGTGACCATTTATGAATATGTAATACAGTAATACATAAAAATCTATAGTGGCAGACAGTTTTCAACTCTCCCTTCCATAAAAAATAGTTAAATTTATTGCCCACAGGACCCATCAAAATATCTAAAATTCTCAACTTAAAAACCTGTATTTGAGAATTACAAATGCTACCACCACCCATTTGCATTCTCAGTCATTTAGTCACCTGAATATTAATTAGCATCTGCTTTGCACTTAGCTCTTGCTGAAGGATAGAAACAACAGGATAAATAAGCCTGTTCCCTGTTCTTAGGACACCACATTCTAACAGATATATGGCATTTAGTAAGTCCTTTATTGGAAGTAAATATGCCAGGTTCTGGGCTAGTACAGAAAAGGAGTAGCTGTGTCAGAGGCAGGGTGACAGCAGGAGGTGAGGTTTGCTAGTTGGATGCTAGTCGGGAAAGAGACAGTGGAGCATGCTTCAGGAAGCAGCAAAACTGAGTGAAGGCTCCAGCTGCTGCTACTTAGACCACATTTTTCCTTCCCTCTCTCCCCTGCCATGTCCCAGGTGATGATTGCACAGGACCACGTTCTAGTTCAGGCCCACTCCGTCAAGGGGAGGGACAGCTCTAACTACTCTAGCTCCAGGACTTCTCATCAGCCTAGCCAAGAGTTTCTCAGATTAACTGCACTCTGAGACTCTTCCTACCCAATCCACCCTTCTTCCTCTTCTTCCATATCAGGCACGTTACCGCCAAACACAGTTCCCAACACATAGTAGGCGCTCGAAAGCTATTAGGAGCAAGACTGAGTGACAGGCACTGCACGCTGTGTTCTGAAACTCTCCCTGCACCCTTCCCTTTATCCTTTCTGGGCACTCCCCCTAATAAATCTTCTTGTTCGACTAAACCTGTCTTGGTGTCTGTTCCTTGGAGAACCCAAACTGACACAGGGAGGGAATTGTACTCTCTCTTACTAAAGGACAAAAACAATTTTCCATATTTCAGGTAAAAGAGCAAATAATTACTTTCATTTGTTAATTCAACTGCAAGGCAAAAGGAGCAGTGCAAATACATCTGATTTTCTGTCTTCTCCACTGTGCTTCCATGCCTATTTTTATGTGACGTTCAAAGAAGAGTGTTTGCCACAAAATATAGTGAATAGAAAAGGCTGATAAAGAAGAGATTTGGAGGAAAAGAGACAGATGCAAATTTGCTTTGTGTCTCAATGAGTATATAAAAAATGATGCTCAGTGCGCTCAATATTGTTTGTAGGTTATTGGGTTTTTGGCCCGGTTACAAGTGTTTTCTCAATTTCAATGTGTCTAATTAGGGAAGGTACGTGGAACTTTAAGCAGAATCTAGAAAAGTTTTCCAGAGAAAACTCAGTTCGGTGGGAAATAGACTCAAAGAAATTTGCAAGCAGAGAGCTAATAGGACAGCACTTTTGGGATCAGCACGTGAGAGGGAGCGAGGGGGGAAGAATGGGGCAGAAATGCAGCTGCAACTGAGGCTTTTGCTGATCCCACTGGGAGGTCTAGAGCTGGGATGGCCCAAGTTAAGGAAAGGGGGCTGAGTCTTGTACTCCTGCCTGGGCAAGTTAGGTCTCTGCAGCAAAAGACAATTCCTGCTGGGACTCAGGGGTGACACCTCATTAGGACATGAGAATAAATGTTTGTCCAGAAGGGGCAATCTGGGAGGATCCAAATCATAAAAAATATCACTCACTCATTTGTGTACCAGGCATTTTTTGAGGGTCTACTATGTGCTGAGAATAGTGTTTGGCATTTGGGGTACCAGAGTGAGCCAGGCAAGCTCCCCCCACTCCCATGTCCTTGCCCACAGAGGCTACAGTCCAGCAGGAGAGACAGACAACCAAGGATTATGCATGGAGTGACATGAGTGTGAATAGAAGACACTATTATAGGAGCTTATGGCAGGAGTGGCCAACCTAGACTAGTGTGTCATATAAGTTTTCCCAGAGGAAACAGCACTGATACTAACACATGAAGGGTGACTGAAAGTGACCCAGGTGTGGGGGTGATGGGAGAGTGGGCTCCAAGAAGAGGGAACAGTGATTTCAATGGCCTGGAGGTAGCTGAGTGCTCAGTGTGCTTGAGAAACTGAAACACACTCAGCCTAATGAGTGATGTTGTGAGTGTTGTGTGTGTTGTGTGTGTGTGTGTATGTGTGTGCATGCATGCATATACATGCTTATGTACTGGTAGCAAAGGCTAAGTCTACAGGGGACGCAGAGGCCAGTCTCCAATGACCGTGTGAGCATATGATGAGGAGTTCAGATTTATTTTCTGCCTTCACTTGCAGGCCATTATCCTTTTCTCTCTCTTTCCAGTTTTTGTCCCTCCTCTTCTTCCCTTCTTTTGTCTTCATTCAGTTGAAAGGCCCAATGAGCACCATCAAAGCCCTGGTGGCAGGTGTACTGCTGAGTATAAATGTCTGCTGAGATGAACTGACTCTGAGTTAGTTGCCTAAATGTAAGAGGGGCCGCACGTACTCCAGTTGCTGCGTGGAGCTGCAGTCAAAGAAGCACGGTGGAGCTACCAGAGTCCTCAAGGAGAAATTGCAGTCTTGACCTGTAGCTTTCAAATAACGTTACAGGGCATCCAACTCACAACCCACAGCAAAATTTATCAAAGGTCCTCTCTCCTGATCCCCAATAGTCTTAAACCCTTAGCTACCCCAGATGTTCAAAACTCAACTCACTTTAAATTACCCCCTGGCCTCGGCCTCGAGATGCTAAATTTGGAGGCTTTACCTTAGCCACTTTCTATCAGTTCTTCTGTTTTTGCCTCACAGAAGATCTGGTGTCCAGGCAGATAAAGTTCCAAGTAAGGAGAGGGGGGTCATGTATTGTGCTGGGGAAAGTTAGGAGCGCTGAATGCAAACACAAAAACACATCTCCACCTCCTTACATCGAACCTCCTTCCTGTCTGCTCAGGTCCCAGTGATCTCTCAGCCATGACTCTGCGATCTCTCACTGCTCCTGAACTCTCCTCACTTGAGCAAGAGCAGCTGGTTCTCTAACCTGCAAATGGTGGCTTTCTTCTCTGTTCTGAGACTTTCATTCAGCACTGAGACTAATTTACTATCTTCCATAAGAACTGTTTAGAGACCCCTAACTCCTTTCATTTATAAATATCTGACCAGAGATACTACTTCAAAGCTGATTTTTAAAAAAAAAAAATCAATCAATCAAAAATCATCTTCAAAAAGACCACTCTTTCCCAAAGGACTCATCCATACAGACAATTTCATTCATGGTTTCAGCATAAACCAGAAGAAAAGAAAGGCTTTTCGCATAGCCTTTAAAGGTGTATGAAACATTAGCGGGGTAAGGGATGCTTATAGCACGATCTCTCTCATATACTCCTCAGGCCTTTATTTTTGCATAGTTTGGCACCCTCTTTCTTTTATGGACTCAATGCATTATTTGCAACATATGTGTGGGCTGTGGTCTCCTTGTCTCCAGGAATAATTATAATTGATTTGAAATCATAATCCTTAAATATATTCTCTCCTTTGATTTGGATGAAGGTTGCTCAATATAATATATTGTGCTTTCTGGGTCCTTTTCCAGGAAGGATCCTTATAGAAACCTAAGTTCACATAGCCCAGAGGATATGCGCTTACCTGTGTTAAGAAATGCACTCCATCCACTGGTAGATGAAATCCAATTCCCAAAGTCTTGATGATCACTAGGATATTGAGCAAATTTTCCCTGAATGAAAAAATCAGAATTCTAAAGTCACCAACTTCAATGATATTTCTAGATATCTGTTGTTTACAAAAATACATAAGGTGGAACTATTTTAGAATGTGACTATGGCATATTCCCATTTTATAGATTTAATTTACATTAGGTTTTTCTTCTTTTGTGCATAGAGTTTTATGTGTTATGTTTCGATCTGTATAAGTGGAAATTTGGATACTGAAGAACCATGTTGTGACTGGAGACAAAAGAATTTTGAAATATTTTAAATTAGACTTTAAGTACTTAATTCTAAATTATAAGTTGTTCTTTAAGTAAAATAAAACTTAGTCACCTCAATACTTTTTCTAACTTAGAAAACTAATGACAGTTACTGTTGCAGAAATTTAAATTTACCTCTTCAAAACCTTGTGAATAATTTGCAGGTGATTGGAATTAAGCCACTGGACACCACCAACAACCAGTACAGTCTGGCTGGTATTCTCTAGGGGACGTGATCTGAAATCCAGAAACAAAAACAACACATGCTGCCTTAAAACAGATGGTAAACATTTTAACTGCATTGCCTCACATTTCATTGAACCATATCTGGCATCCTGATCACAGGATCTCCTTGTCATTTCCTACTCATTTTCAGCCACATTACTTGGCATCTAAGCTTTTCAGCACGGTTGATATACAGGGAGCAATTATGACTGCCGGTAAAACACCGTATGTTGTGGCATTGTGCCATTTGTAATAGTCCCATTGTACCTTTGCAAGAGATGTTCAAGTGCTTTTTCAAATGTTGGTCTCAATGACGGGCTTATCCAGAACTGGGGATAGTAGGAATAACTGATCAAAGTCTTCCCACCATTGACGTGATAGAATTTAGTGCCATGCACCTTCTGCCATTCCTGCAACGTTTCATTCACTCTTTCGATCAGATAGTACATGATCCCTCTGTTGGTTGAATCTCCAATAAAAAGAATCTATAAATTAAAGAAAACATATTTGTTTTCATATCTGATATTTACATGGTACAGCAGATAGACTCAAATAACTAATTTTCTGAATACTCATAAAATTTTGTGTCCAATTGTTTGGAGGACAGCCCTTCAAACAGTTAGAAGTAACATTCATCATACTGTCCCCCAAACTTGTTCATTTTCTTTTCTTCCATATGCCCAGTAATGACATCATCTACCAATCCACTAACTCAGGTTTAAAGCTTTTTGCTTCATGTTATATTCAGTTTCTCTGTTTCCCTTATGCTCCTTGCTTTCTCATCAAATCAGCTTGACAAATCTATTGATTCAAATAGGCATGGAGTATTTTAGTGCTCTAGGAACACTTACGGATTTTTCCAATCTCTTTATTGTGTACTTGCAAAAACAGAATCTGCAGAGGTAGCTCAACAGAGGTCATATCACCACTTAAGAAAAGAGCCACAGGACTAGAATCTGATATTCTGAACAGCAGTCCATGTCCCAGGAACATATTCCAGTGCCATTTGCTTTCCAGGGAAGTGTCTCACACCCATCACCTCCTTCCCATCCCAGCAGCACAGCCCTGCTTCAGCTTTCACCACCTCAAAGCAACACTGTAGGAACACTCTCCTCATGGGTCTTCCTTTGTGCACAACAGCTGCCCTCAGTTCATTCTACATATGGTACTGCTAGGATACATTTCCAAATGTCTACTACCTGTCATCTTATTTGCATGCTCAAAAACTTCATTGGGTCCCCGTTTCTTACAGAATCAAGTCTAAACTATTTAGGTTTAGCTAACATTTACTGCATTTTTATTACATATCAGCCAGCCTCTGCTAGGGGGAGATTTCACTCAACATACTCACTTTTAATCTTCACAGTTATAGGGTTTGAATTATTATCTCCCTTTCACAGGTGAGGAATTCGAGGCTCAAGAAGATTGAGGTCATAAAACTAGTAAAGGTCAAACACAGGACTAAACCCAGGTCAAGTTCGGGGTCAATGGCCCCATCTTCTCAATACTTCCCTCATGTAAGCATGTCAGACTCCTACTTTTTCACTGACCATGGTTTGCACTCAACATCTGTTCTTCCTTGTGTCAATCTGTCTGTCTTGAAACCTCCTTTTCAACCCCACCTGTCATCCTCCAGACCCAACGCGAATGCTCTCCCAACTGGTTTCGTCCAGAGCCCTGGCCAGATGTGATTACTCTCTCTGTCCTCTATGATTTCATTACATTTTTATTTTCATTACAGATATTTACCAAAATCTACATAAAAATATGGCTATTTGTGTGTGTCTTTTTTCCATATTCTAAGAAGAAATATTTGAGGTCAGGGCTAACTTCGAATTTTCATTTTCTCTGTACCATGTATGCACTTTAAAAATAGTGAATTGAAAGTCAAAGGGACTTTTGTTATCAACAATCACTTTTAATATCTTTGGATAAGATTTAAATCATTCTTCAGCTTTTTCTCTTTCTTTTGAGATGTTTCTTCCATTAGTCATGCATGCATTTTCTTCTGATTTTAACAGCAGGCAACGCCAGCATTTCTCAGGCATTTCAGTTTCTGCCCATCCACAGCAAATTTAAAGAGAATCTGCAAAAGTTTATTCTTTCCACAGTAAGTGTATCCACGTAGCTGTGGGAAGAAATTCAGAAAGCTTCTCCAATTTGCCTTCAGGTCAAACACTGTTACCATAAGCATCATCAAGCTAAACCAAATAACAACGTGGCAAGGCCCTAGTCACTGTTTCTCTAAGTCAAGTTCCATTGGAAGCAATAAAATTCCAGTATGATAAAATAATTTGTAAAATAACTTGAATTTCTTTTTACTAGATTCACCCTGTAACAATTTCTTTTTGTTTTTCTGGCCTAGATTCCTGATTTTTAAGAAAGAACTTTGAGTAATCAGGAACGCTCTTAATTTCAGATATTAGCGATTGTTGAACTCCATCTGTATTAGTTTGCTAGGGCTGCCATAACAAAGCACCACTGCCTGGGTGGCTTCAACAACAGAAATTTATTCTCTCACATTTCTGGAGGCTAGAAGTTTAAGATCAAGGGGTCAGCAGAGTTGGTTTCTTCTGAGGGTCTCTCTGGAATGAGGGTGGCCTTCTCCTCTGTCTCTTCATATGGTCTTTCCTCTGTGTGTGTGTGTGTGTCCTAATCTCCTCTTTTTTAAAGACCCCAGTCATGTTGGATTAGGTAGCCCCCCCATATGACCTCATTTTACCTTCATCACCCCTTCAAAGGCCCTATCTCTAAATACAGGTACTTTCTAAGGTATGGGGATTAGAACTTCAACATATGAATTTGGCAGAGAAGATACAATTCAGCCCATAATACTACTAAAGGAACTTTGTGATCTAGCTTTTAAACTAGATTGCCATTACGGATTTCTCTTGTAGTTTCTTTTCATTTCAGTATCAAGGTGCTGTCCCTCTTAGGGTATCCCTAGACAGCCAGTAAGGTCACTAGATATCTGTATTGTGGGCTGTAGATATCTGTATTATCTGTAAGCTTTAGAAAAATCAAAGTTGCTGCATGTTACTGAGAGAAAAAACAAAACAAAACACAACTTCTAGATTTCCAGTTTCTTCTGTGCAGTTGTATATGAAAACGCAGCCCACAATTATTAGCTGCTGTTATTATTAACTAGATAACCTTAGACAAATTATGTGCCCTCTCCAAGGGTTCGTTTCCTTACATGTAAACTGAAGAAAATAACAGCTCCACCATAGAGGACTTAAATGAGATGCTAAATACTTAATTCACTCCTGGCATGCAGGAAGCACATAGTGAATGTGAGCTGGTGTTCAAGCATAAGAAAGGCAAGTAGCGCTGTTGTGGGCTTCCAGTGTGCCTTGCCGTGTCTTGCTAAGCACTTTAAACTCATTAGCTTGGTTAGAGAAAATGTTGGAGAAGATGGGAAATGTCTAAGTCACAGCAGTCTCTTTCCTGCCCTACCAACCCTGCTACTGACCCCAGCAGGATTTGAAGGGTTGCTGGAGAAACTGAAAGTCTGGATGGAGGGCTGGAAGAGAGAGCTCCATCCTGAGCAAATACCACTCTCAGAACAGGGCCCTGGTGTCCCCACTGTGGATTAGTGACCAGCAAGAACTACGTGGGTGTGAGAAGTAAGCGTCACTACCATCATTTGCAAAGCAAGTTCTTCTAAATTGCAGATATGTGGAGAGCATTCCTGAGTCTAGTAAACACAGCTCTGGGAAGACTATTTTCTGGAGGATTATTTTATCCTATTGCCTCCCCATTCATGAAAGATGGAAATGATAAAGCGTAACAAAAATGAAAATGCGATTGTGATTTTAAGATTGATCATCCTGTAGGTGAAAAAGTTTTTGTAAGAGATTAATTGATATTGCTAAATAAAAGATTGCTAACCTCAAAATGTCAGCTCTTTTAATGCACAACCCATAATTAAAAAATAATATCATGAATTAAAGAGTGGTTTCTTTTAATGCACATGATTCATATTCAATCTTTGTATCATTCAGACCATTCAGATTTGGTGAAAAAGGGAATTTGTAGATTATTTGCTTTAAAGGACAACTTCTATTTTAAGAGGCCTAAATTATCATAACAACTGTTTTTAACTAGCCATATAATTTATAAAAAACTTTTCTTCTTTCCATGAAATTATTGCCTTATGCTAGCATGCACAGGTATTAGTTGGCATAAGCAAAGAGGAAAAGAAAATGTGATCTTTAAATACAAATAGCCAGTAAGCATTTATAAAAATAATTAACTTTAGTAATAAAACATCAGACTTTGGTTACTAGAGATGGAAAAGAGGGAGGGGTGGCGTCCGGGAGGAATTGGGTAAGAGGCACAAAGAGTAAGTACGATTTGTAATAATGCACATGCTAATAAAAAAAGAAATTAAAAAAAATCAGAATAACTAGTTTTTTCCTTCTATCAAAGTCACACAGATTTTAAAAGCCCAGTGATAGTATGAGTTCAGGGAAATGGGCCCTCTCATACACTACTATGTAACACCACGAGGGTAGGGTTTTTGTTTTTGTTTTTAATTGTTGAATCTCTGGTGACTTGAATACTTTTGCCTGGTACAAAAAGTAGATTCTCATTTGTTAACTGGATGGATTGAAATTTTGCTGTTGTGTGCATAAACAGTGTTTTTAAGGAATTCCACCTCTAGGAAATATTTAAGGAGGTCTGTTAAAATGCATTTTAAAAACAAAATAAATTGGAAGCAGCATAAATAATTAAAAACCAATAAATGATTGATTATATTGAGGTATAATCATACACTTGAATTCTCATCTTTTAATAGATATTATAATACAAATATATTGTAATGGGGAAGATTGAATGTTATCTTTCATGAAAAAGCTGATTAAAATCAGAATGTAAATAATATTTGCATTTTTGTAGATGTAAAATATGTGGGTGTGTAGAAAATATCCTGGAAAGTTAACTATGATTATTTTGAAGTGGTGATATGATGACAGTTTGTTCTTTTGGCTCATTTGTATTTTCTAAAACGAACACATATTGACTTTTTATGATAAGAAAAAAGAGTTAAAAGCAGCAGCAGCAACATGTGCAACAACAATAAATCCATTCTGTTTAAAAACATGTTGAAAATTCATATAAAATTTTGTACTAATCAGCTTAAACAAACTTGATTTCTATTTATGGAAAACAGTGCTTTAAGAGAGTCAGGATTAAGAATTGGTTCAATCAACCCATTGCAAGAACAATGCTAATCATATTTTGGATTCCTATTGCAACTTTTATTTCAAAGATTGAATCTCATTTCTCTAGGCAGTATCTCCTTTCTGGTCCTGTGATGCAGCGAGGTAAGCCTGCACCCATCAAAGTACTCTCTGGAGAGGACCAGAAACATCTATGCTCTGGATGTGTAAGGAGAGGCTGGATCTCAACTCATCAGCTGGAGGCAGATAAATGTTTAGAAGAGTTTTGCATCTGTTCTCTACCCAAGGCTCTACGCACA